ACCAATATTTTTTCAGACATCAGCTCAGATGCATATGGAAATGAGTCAGTCACTTATTATGTGCCTCCTATGTACCAAGCACTGAGGATAAAAAAAAAAAAATCCTTGCCCTTGAGAAACTCAGACTCTAATGGGGGAGACGACAAGCAAATAAATATGTACAAACAAACTCTGTGTAGGATAAATAGGAAATAATTAAGAAAGGGAGGAGTTAAATTAAGAGGGGATGGGAGAGGCTTCCTGTAAAGAATGATTTTTGTTTAATCATAAAAGAAGCCAGGAAAGCCAGAAGATAGAGATGAGTAGGGAGGGAATTCTGGGCATGATGGACAGCCAGAGAAAATGCCTAGAGTTGAGAGATGGAGTGTCTTGTTCATGAAACAGCAATGAAACAAATTTCACTGGATTCAAGAGCATGTGGCAAGGGTAAGTTGTAAGAAACCTGGAAAGGTAGGAGACGACTAGGTTATGAAAGAAAAGCTTTGAATGCAAAACAAAGGATTTTTTATTTGATCCTGGAAGTGATAGGGAGCCACTGGATTTTATTGAGTGACATTATCAGAATGGTGCTTTAGGAAAATTATTTTGGTGGCTGAAGAGAGGATGTGAATAGATTTGACACAGATCCATAAGCATAAGATGTTGCAATAATCCAGGTTGAGGTGATGAGGGTCTGTACTAGAGTGTTGGCAGAGTCCAAGGAAAGAAGTGGACATATTTTAGAGATAATGCAAAGGTGAAATCGACAGGCATTGTCAATAGACTGGATACGGGGAGTAAAAAAAAAAGTAAGGAGTAGAGGAAGACACCTGGGTTGCAAGCCTGAAGGACTGGGAGGATGATGTTGCCCCAGTTTTGTTATCATTGTTCATCCTTTGTTTTAGAAGAGGACTAATGACATCACTAGGTGATGTCTTGAGTTGGGTGTGAATTGGATTTAAGTGGGACAGTTGCACAAAGTCATCAGCTTCACTCACTAGAGTCATAGAAGTTCAGTAGCAAGACAAAAGTCAAGAGAACTTGCACCAGTAATAGGGAAGGCAAGAAGTGGGGAGGATTTAAGGTGAAAGATATTAAGTTCAGTTCAGAACATGTTGAAATGAAAATGTTTGTTGGGTGTCCATTTGAGATGTCTGAAAGGCATTTGGAAATGTGAGACTGCAGTACAACAGAGAAGATGGGGAAGGATGGATAGATTTTAAAATCATCAGCATAGAGATGATAATAAAAACCCATGGGAGCTAATGAGTTCACTGAGTGAAATAATATGGAGGGAGAAGAGAAGAGAAGAGGAACCAGGACAGAACCTGATGGGACACCTGTAGTTCAAAGTCATGATTTTGATAATGAGACAGCAAAGGAGATTAAGAAGGTGCAATCAGATAGGTAAGAGAAGAGCCAGGTGAGGGTGGCATACTGAAAACTCAGAAGAAGAGAATATTAAAAAGAGTAATCAGCAGTGTCAAAGGCTTCAGAGAGAGGTCAAGGAAAATGAGGATAAAGTAAAGACCACCAGATTTGGCAATCAAGAGATCACGGGTAATTTTGGAGGGTGCAGTTTTTGTGGAATGATAGTTTGAAAGCTAGATTGTATGGAGTTAAGGAGAGAGTGAGCAGAGGCAAACTGGAGTCACATGTTGTAGTTAGCATTTTCAAAATGTTTAGCCATGAAGGGCAGAAGATACACACACACATACACATACATATATATGTACATATATATGTACATATATATATATATATATATATATATATATATATATATATATACACCTATGTGAAAAAGACAATCACTTCACATACACACATACTTAGGTGTATATATATATGTGTGTGTGTGTGTGTATGTGTTTATACATATGTGTAGAATACATACATATATGCACATATATGTATATGTATATAGTGGGAAAAGAACGATAACGTGAGGGTATATTGGTCATGGAGGAGCAATAGGTGTTTTTGCAGGCAGTATGGAAGGACCCAATAGACAGCTGAGAGATTGAAAATGAATGATAAGAGTGAGTATGACAGAGGGGCAAACTTTTGAAGGAGACAGGATGGAATGGGATTGCTTGAGCAGGTAGAAGGATTTAGCCTTGATACAAAGTAAGTCCATCTTATTATGTGAGACAGGGATGAAGGAGGGGGTAATGGCTGAAGGCATAAGAATGACATGAAATGAGGAAGAGGCAAGAAAATGGAGCTAATAGCCAATGGCCTCAACTTTTTCTGTAAAATATTAGGCAAGGTTCTCAGCTGAGGGGTAGAGGTTGAAGTACCCAGAAGAAGAATTAAAAGGTTGGGAGAGATGCTGTGGAGAGTGGGATAGTGAGTTAATGAGAGCAGTACAGTAGGATTGACTAGCAGCAGTGAGGATCCAATAAAGATTGTTTAATAAATTTGTAGTAGACTCAGTCTGAATGGTTGCGTGATTTTTCTCTACCTTCAATCAACACCACAGGTTTAGGAGCAAAAGTGGAGAAAGTGAGAATGATCCAAAGCTGAGGCTTGGCTAGGCTCAATCAGGGGAATAAGTGGGCAAGGAACTTCAGAGAAGAGGGCAGTGTTAGGTTGAATTGATTCTCTAAAGGGACATGACCTGGGAAGGAATTAAGAGGTCAGGGGTTTGAAGGTCATGGTAAGGAGAAAAGTAGGGTTTAATGAGGCAGAGGGAGAGATGCTCAGATAAGGGGATTTCAGAATTCTTGAATGTGGAAGTTGTGCATTTGTAGGTGATAGCAAGATCAAGGGTATGACTGTCTTTGTGTGTGGTTAAGGTGGGGTGGAGGAATAGATTATGGGAAATGATTAGGTTGAAGAACTGAGTGGTTAGAGTGAGGGAGAGTCAGTAGGTGTGTTGAAGTCCCAGGATAAGGCTAGGAACTGAGGAAGAGAGAAAACAATATGATCCATTCACTGAACTCTTTGAGTAGGGAAGGGGAGTTACCTAGGGGCTTGCAGACAGTATTTATCTAGCACTAATTCCTATCTAGCACTCCTTCAGACTCTGTGCACCCATTGAATTAAAGGGGGGCTCTCTCAATCCTTTTTTTTCCCAACTGTTACTATTGCTGCTCCAGTTTTTTGCCCCTGCCTTAGTGTCTGTCTGTTTCCCCACAGATGCAATTGTTCAGAAGAGATCCAATGAACAGGCTGAGGTGGGGAAATGAGTGATGGACCTAAAGTGAGGAGTTGTGCTCATATACCTCAAGGGCAAGCACATTGTGAACACACTAGCTGATGTTGCTCCTTTTTCCATTGGCTTTTGACTGGTTCTCATCATTTGTGAATTTTTGGACTATTGCTTAGAAACCTCGAATAGAATTAGTTAGGTTCTAAATGTCAAGGGCCTACTATTAAAATCATGCAATCACTTCACCCTGACAATGTGCCTTTGTTGTTTCAGCATTTAGCATTAACCAAGTGAAAATTAATGGGACAGAAAAAATAAATTTACAATGGTCTCAGTATGGGGCATATGCCTATGTGAAAAAGACAATCACTTCACAGGAAAGTGATTATTAAAATTAATTTGATGCCAATAACAATAATTCTAATATGATATGGGTCAATAGGGATAAATGACAAAGAGCGCCTTTTCCTTATAAGTACAAAATGAAATAGCCTGCACTCAGCTCAGGGAGACAGAGGGATAATTCAAATTTAACTTTACTTGTGGGTGTTTTATGTAGAGTTGAGAGCTTGTGTTATTACTTGTCAAATATTTTAGCCTTCCATTTTACTCAGACAGTTTGACATTTGGCATCCTTTTGATTAATAATGAATGTATAAAACTCTTAGCCTGGCATTGAAAGCCATCCATAATGTGGCCCCCATCTTTGAAATCTAAACTATTCATTCATTACACATATTTATTAAGTATCCATTATGTGCAATGTACTATGCTAGGCTGTGAGGGAGCTATGGATATAAATATTGCATGACCCTTAATCTCAAGGAGCTTATACTAACATGGCCTATTATTCCTACCTTTATACCTTCAGTCATGCCAAGCCAACCTTACCTAGAATGCCCACCTCTCTACTGTATTTAAATCTTAAATCTTCCTGTAAAGGACAAATGAAGGTCTGCTTCTTCTGTAAGGACTTTACTGTATGTCCTAGCCCTCGATGATTCTCCTCTTTTTCAAACCATGCATCACTTATTCCCTATAGTATCAACTTGAAATAAAAAAGACTACCAAAATACAAACAATAAGAGTATTTAATTGAGGCATAGGAGTTGCAATTTGGGACACCACAAAGCACCAAAGTATTGGAGTGCCCAGGAAGGGCAGAGAGGGCAAGGTTTAAATATGGTTCAACAGGTAGGAAGTCTCCTGGAAGGCACAGTTTTGTGAATCTGTTACATAAGTTGTTTTGTGTAACAACTAAAGTCCATAGAGAAGGCTGGGAAGGCTAGGAGAGTGGTTATATCTGGTCAGAATAGCAGCAATGGAGAGTTTCCAGAAATAAGACAGGAACAGCTATAACTGGTCTGAACTTATCCAACCATGGGGTCTGTGGGGTCAGGGAAAAGCAGCCCCTTTTGATAAGTGCATTCAACAATTGCTTAATCCAGAATTTACCATATTCTATGTTTTATTGCTTGTTTATTAAATTCTGTGCTTCTATGAACTGGATTATAATCCATTTAAGGACAACAACTAATTATACCGGAAAACCTAGTACATTGTGCTATGGATATGCTAGAGGTTTAACAACACTAGTGACTTTCTACTATGCGGTAAGCACTAGGCATAAAAAAAAATGCAAAAACAGTCCTTGATCTCAAAGAGCTTACAATCTAATAGGTAATACAACATGTAAACAACTGAATAAAATATATACAGTATAAACTGAAGATAACCTCAGAAGAAAGGCAATAGCATGAAGGGGGACCAATAACGTCTGCTTGAAGAAAGTAGAATTTTAGATGATACTTAAAGGAAGCCAGGAATTCCCAGAAGTAGAAACAAAACAGAGATAATTCTAGGGATGAGAGACAGCCAGTGCAAATGGTTGGAGCTGGAAGATGGAAAGTCTTGTGCAAAGAACAGCAAGCAGGCCAGTGTAGCTGAGAATCATGGACTAGTAAGGGATATATCAGAGTGTCAAACACACAGCCCATAATACTGTCATGTTTGGCCTGAACCAGATTAAAATATAATTGGGAAATATTTAACAAAACAAACAAAGATATAACAAAACATAAATGATATTACATTTTAAAACTAAGTCAATAGGTGGCTCACAGGGATCCTTATGTATGATTTAGTGGCTCCCATTTCTATTTTAATTTGATACCACTGCATTACAAATATACCTGACAAATGATCATTAAAGCTGTGAGCCCTAGTAAGGAAAAACCAAGTACCCCCTCAAGGCAGCCATTCCACCTGCAAATAGTTCTAATTGATAGGGCATTTATCCTTATATCAGTCCTACATCTGCTCTATTTTTGTACCTTCCATTACTCCTCATTTTGTCTTTTGAGGCCATGTAAAACAAGTCTATTCCCATGTCCTCCTAGAAACTCTTAATATATTCAAAACCAGCTTTCTCTTCCCCTAAAGATTTCTCTCTCCTACAGGTTAAAAATATCCAATTCTTTCAAATAAATCTCATATGGCATGATCCTTAATGCCTTCACCATGCCCGCTGCCTTTTCTTTTTTTTTTTTCTGACTAGTCTCCAGCTTATTTATTTTGTTCTTAAAATGTAATATTGGAAACTAAACACAGTACTCAATAGGTGGTCTGGCCAATTTAGAATAAAGTAGAACTCTTATTTTCCTCATCATAGATACTAGGCCATTGTTCACTGATCATAGATTTAAAGCTAGAAGTGACATCAGAGTTCATCTAAACCTACCTCCTCATTTTATATATGAAGAAACTGATTCCAAGAGATGTGTAGTGTTTTGTCATCTGACAGTAAGTAACATAACAAACATTCAAACCAAGGTTCTTTACTACAAATCCAACAGTCTTTCGATTGTATTATCATGCACCTTGATATCACATTAGATCTTTTTTTTTGGAGGGGTTCATGGTTAAAAATCAGACCATTGATTTGTATTTAGGTTAGACCACTAAAATACAGTCATTTTCAGTTGTGTCCTGACTCTTTGTGACCCCTTTTGGGATTTTCTTGGTAAAGATACTGGAGTAGTTTGCCATTTCCTTCTTGAGCTCATTTTACAGATAAGGAAACTGAGGCAAACAAGGTTAAGTGACTTTCCCAAGGTCATACAGCTGGTAAGTGTCTGAATACAGATTTGAACTCAGATCTTCCTGACTTACAGTCCAGCACTCTATCCATTAAGCCATCTATGTGCCCTCCTTAGCATATTGTAGGTACTTAATGAATGAACTCAATTGAACCATATTACATTCAATCCAATGTTCATTCTGTTATCTGCTCTTGTTTCCCTCTTCTGTTTATTGCCATTTTAACATCTAAATGGGTTAATGAATTCATGTGTACCTCCACATTTAGATGAATTCCCATTTCTTTCTCATCAAAACTGTTTGTTTTTCTGTTGTTATAATTTAATTCCCAAGAGTTTGCCATTCTTCCTTCTGACTTCCCTCTAGTATTCTATGCAATGGCATATTTTTTCTTTTTCCTCTGAATACTTTGAAATCTATGTTCCCTAAATGTCGTGTGTGTTAGTTTCCATTTAAAACACCAGTTCCTCATTGTTGTGGATAATTATATGAAAAATAAATGTTCGCCTCCTTAGTTGTTCCACTTTGTGACACATATGATTTTCATAATCAAGACGTGCTTTCTTTCACAAGCAAGTCAAGATATCATTAGTTCTTCTTTCTTACAGAGAGACAGAGAAAGAAAGAGAAGCATTAAAAACTTCTATTAATCTTGGCCCAAATACTCGCCTCCTCGGTAGCTGTGTCCACAGCGGGCGCTGCTACTCCTGGGGATGCTGGGCACCGAGTCCTACCGGCCGCTGTCCCTACCCAAGCCGGAGCTGCAGCACCGGCAGCAGGCTGCACCCATGGCCGGCGGAGGGGGAGGTGACCTGCATTCTGGTGACTGGAAACACTAGTCTTCGGTGGAGTGCAGCGAGGCATCTTTTTTGAACTTTGGTGATTCCTCCGACTGTGAGCCGAAAGGATCACGTCTCTGTGACTCCTTGCTTTCCCTTAATGCTGAAAAGATTCTGAACCAGGCAAAGTCCCTTGCAGAACAAAAGCAATTACCTTTTGCTGCAGATAATGACAATACGAATGAAGAATTAGCTATTGCTTATGTGTTGATTGGCAGTGGTCTATATGATGAAGCAATAAAACATTTTTCATCCGTGCTCCAGGAGGAGCCAGAGCTCGTTAGCGAAATTTAGAGCCAAGGGATAGCCTCTGGAAGGAAGGGACTACAGGTCATTAACAATGCTGAACTTGCTTTGTTTGAACTGAGTCGAGTAATTCCCTTGGAACCAAATCCTGCCTCCTCACTTCTTCATATGACTTTATCTTCTTAATATTCAATATTTTTCCCCTTCCCTCCTGCCTTTTTATATCTAATTCTTTCCTTTTCAATTATCTGCAAACTTCCAGAAGCATATCTTTTCATCATAGAATTAATCCCATCAAGACTCAGTGGTATCTATGATTGCGAATTTGCCTCCTTGTGTTAGAATTTCTAGCTCACTTAACTTGTTAGTCACATTTTGTCCATTTGCACAAAGATACCTAAGGCTTCTTTTATCGAATTTTGTCTCCTCTGCTTTTCTAGGCAACTCTAACGCTATTCTTTTTTCTTACATTGTTACAACCTCCTAAACTACTTTGGTGAATGTATGTTAATGGTTTTCTATCTTTGTCTCCTTTTCAGTTGAAAGTCCTTTTGCAAGATTATAGGCAAATCTGTTCTTACCAGCCTTCCTAGGCACATTCTAAGTCTAACCAATTGTTCATCATCCCTATATTTTTAAACTATGTTCCAGAAGTCAAATTCTTATACACTATATTTTAATCTGTTTTCCATTTAACTCAGATTTCTTGAGACCCTGCCTTTGAATGGCAGACATGATGAAAACACCTGCACTCTAACTCTTCATCTTCTCATCCAAGACTTTAAAATCTGTGGCAATACTTTGCAGATTCCCACTGGAAATATCATTTATGCCTACATGGATCATCAGAAGTGAGTAAATGTCTACTTTTTTGACAAGTCTTAGGCAGTCCATTCTCATATCTTGTACATATGCCCTCAGGAAGACAGCAGGCTTCACTATTGTCATTATCAGGTTAACAAATGTCTATTTCAGGACTATTGCCAAGATGTTATCAACTATTTACTCTTATGATCCTTCATGTATGAGCTTTCATCTGGAGATGTTTGTGGATCCTCACCATTAGTCATTAGAGGGAAAATTAACTGCTTCTTTCTCAGAGGTCATTCAACTCCTCTTCAAGAATAGCCTCATATCTCTGAGTACTCAGATTAAAGTGTTCTATGGGACCATTTCCTTTCTAGTTTGTGCTGAATGTTTATAACTTCCAGTATATTGAAACAGGTCAGGATTAATTGCTGATCCTAATTGTTTTCCCAAGTCTATGCTTGCTTTGTGCCAGACACTGTGCTAAAGGGCTGGAAATACAACTCACTGACTAATTTGAGAGACAATAAACGAATAATTATGTACAAACAAGATATATTCAGGATAAATTGGAGAGGACCTCAAAAGGATATCACCAGCATTAAGGAGGATTAGGAAAGGCTTCTTGAAGTGGGATTTTATCTGAGACTTGAAGGAATTCACAGAAATGGAAATGGAAGGTGAGAATTCCAGGCATGTTAAGAAACATTTCGTTCTCTCTCATGATCTGAGAGTAGGAATGCCTCTTAGGGGAAAGTGGACCATGTTTTGAGCATAGGTGAAAATTATTTGATTGTGATAGAAATACATATCTACCTCATTCATTGGAAGTTAAGTGTAAAATTCTCCTTATTTTCCAAATTTTATGGAAGCAGATTCTCACATCCTTTGTCATTCTTGGGAGAAGGTATTTAGACTAATTTCACAGCAGGAGATACTTTTCATTTTATAATTCAATAAACATTTATTAAGCAACTACTATATGCACCTATACTAGATTAAGTACTATGAATGCAAATAACAACAAGACAGTCCTCTATGTCAAGGAGCTTTCAATCTGAGCTGGAAAGGATGGAATTACCAAGGGCTATCTTGTTCCATGTATTTGAAAACAAGCAGATCTGCAGCTGGAAAATGGAGGGAGTGGGGAAAGTCTAAATCCTGAGCTCTGAGGGAAGTGAGAAGGTGCTAAGTATCTAAACCTGGTGATGAGATCTGAAGCAATCATCTTACCTTGGGAGGGGAATCTTATTAGGAAAACACTAAATCCTTTTTTTTTCTCTTACCTACTTTCTTCATGCTTTCAGTTTTTCATTCTCAAATTCTTTCCACCTTTCCTTTCTCCTTCTCCTTCTCCTCAGACTGAAATATTCTCCTTTACCTTGTAGTCATGTCCTTCTGCTCCTACATTTCCATTCTCCTTGAATCTTTGTCTACTTAAACTTGAGTCCTTCTCTTTTAGTTAAATCTTAGCTTTAATCTTTCTCCTCTTTTAGCTTCTTCTCCAATTTCTGTCCCCTTTCCCATACACAGCATAGAATTTTATTTTTGGCCTTCTTCACAATCCAAAATCTTACCAAATCCCATTTACAATCTTTTCTCAAAATAAAGTAGACATTTTTGGTGATGAGGAAGATTGAGGATATGTAATAGAAACAACTAATATAGTAGGTAGATATATTTTAAAATTGTAACTGGAAATGAAATTCCTACATCTCTCCCATACTTGTAAGGCAACAAACAAACTTTCCCTCAAGCGAGGGTGGATATGAATAAATGGTGGGTAGGATATGAGCCATGCAAGATCTGTTATGAAAGTAATTGACTTCAGAAATTATTGACTTCTTGTTGCTATGCAAATGCACAAAACTATTTATTAACTACTGGCAAGTCTTTGCCTGACTCAGTAAATGAAATCTTGGAATATAAATTGAAATAAGTTTATAAGATGCTGAGGCATTTTATTTTAATTTGGTCAAAAATATGAACAATTCACAAATTCTGTGCATCATACTTGCTCAGGGGGCATGCTAATCTTCTCTGTTTCATTCTAGTTTTAAAATAGATGCTGTTGACGTGAGCATTCTGAAATATTTTAGTTGAACTCTACTCGGGTCAGCATGGCCTTTTCTTATTTTCAGACAATTAATATAGAAATTGTTTAGTTGGATTTCTTTTAAGATACTTGAAATTAATTCAAATTATTTAAAAGTCAAATCCCATTTCCATTTTAGGACACTCAAACCCATAAGGAACTTCTCAATTTGTAAGCTGAACCTTGAAATTTAAGATTGTCTCAAGATCTACCAGTTTTGCTTTACATTAGGATATGGATGTAACCACATTCATTTATACTATCTATATATTTATATCACAGCCTGATATTGAATACTTTGTTGATTTTTGTAAAGATAACAAATGATTGGATAAATAAGAAACTGTCTGGGTATGTGGTTTGGCAAGTTTAAATACTACTCTTGCCACTGTTTATTTCTGTATGCTAATTTCACCGACTTCCTTCATGCTGAATAAGTGACTTTGACTATAGGAGACATTATCAGAGGTACTCTACCATAATTTCATGCTACTCAGAAGTCTTAAGGCCTTCATGGCTATTAGAAAACAGATATTTAAGAGTTTAATAGATGATTTGAATTGTCACTCACATTTAGACTTTTACATTGTATATCCCTTATACTTAATACTGAATGACATATTTTTTACTTGATTTTGTGTTCATTATCTGATTGTCTTGCTTGATTATAAAGTATATCACTGCTTTCATTGATTTTCTTGCTGAAACATGTGAATAGGAAATTAATTTAGTTTGTTGAACGATCATAGTCTCCAACTTGTCAGCACCTGATTTTATATATATGTTATATGTATATATGCATATGTGTGTGTATATATATATATATCTCCATGGTTATTAGCTATAGTAATGGTATGCTTTTACAGCTTATATCTAAGCGTAATCACTTTCTATTTTTAATTTCCAAATAATAATACTTTTAGTAGTTAACAAGTTGGGCAATGGCTAGATAATTGCAGGATAACCAGAAGGATATTTGAACACAAGATATTGAATTATGCCAATATTCTGCACAGATATTTCCTCTCTAAAAGTGGTAAGAAGCAATGTTTTGTAAGTACCATAGCAGTTGCACATGAAATATTGTAGCAATACACTGAACTCATTTCATAACCATTTGTATAAAGACATTTATTTTAACTATTACATTTATTTTAGCTGTTTTTATGCATAGGAAGACAATAAGGGCTGTTAGGCCACAGTGTGAAATGGTGGCTAGAGTGCTGGCAATCAGAAAGACTAAAATTCAGATCCTACTTCAGACATTTACTAGCTGTGATGCCCTGGGCAGGTCCATTAATTTTTCTAAGACTCAGTTTCCATATCTATTATGTGAGAAACACATTTAATGCAATCAACAGTCACATAATATCATTTTTAATGTACACTTTCAAAACTGTAAAATAGATCATAACAAATTTGGAACTTATCCTAACAAAATACTATCCAATATTTATAAAATACAGGGCCTTCACCCTAAGGTAGCTACTGAAAGATTAGCCCTTCCTTAACAAAAAAAAAAGAGGAAGAGAATTGATAGAAATTCTCAGAACACATGTTAAATAAGTTTTTTTTAAAAAAAATCTACAAAAATGCTTTCAGAATAAGCAGATATCTATTCACCAAGCCATAGTAAAGTCCAACAATAGATACATAGCACTGGATTTGTTTAATGTAACTGAAACTGTTTTTCCTTCTATACAATGTCTGAAGTCCAAGGCTGAAATAAAAAAGTCTTATATGGGCAATTGCCATATGCACCTTGGCCAATGAAATGTCAACAAGAAAGGGCTTAACAAATAGCTGAACCACAGTAATTT